TGAAGGTGAGGAGTTGAGAGATCCGACTGTCTATCAGAGGTTGGTAGGTAGACTTATCTACCTAGCCAATACTAGGCCAGATATTTCATTCGCAGTCAGCCGAGTTAGTCAGCTCATACACAGGCCGTGTCAGCCTCATCTTGATACAATTTTTCATATTCTTTGGTACCTCAAGTTTTGTCCTGAACTTGGGTTGTTCTATGCATCAGGATATCAGATTGATTCTCTAGCATATTATTCAGATTCAGATTATGGGGGAGCATGTGATTGTCGATCTATTACTGACTTCTATGCTTTTTGAAGGATTCATCTTATCTCTTGGAAGAGCAAGAAGCAGACAGTTGTCTCCCGCTCCTCAGAGTATCGGGCACTGACACTTGACACGTGTGAGATTATTTAGTTATGATCGATTCTTGGCGAGTTAGAATTTTCAGTGACTTCTCCATCCACATTATATTGTGATAATCGATCTGCTATTCAGCTCGCTTCTGACTCTGTACTACACGAGAGGACGAAGCATATAGAGATCGATGTTCACTTTTTTCGAGGGAAGGTTAGCTGTGGTATTATCACTCCATTATTTGTAGGGACTAGTAATCAAGTTGCGGATGTTTTCACCAAACCTATCACGTTTTCATTCTTCAGGATTCGGTTGTCAAGCTTGGCTTAGTTGATATTTTTGCGCCTAGCTTGAGGGGGAGTGTTGGAGTTATAACCTAGATTATTAGGATTTTCCTTTCTACCTTTGTTTTACCTTTTTATCCTTATTGTATTTTTTTTGTTTGACTATATATACGGGACTCTACACTTAATTTGTATCTTTTTCACTCACATTTATCTCAAGCAGTAGGAATTCAATTTGTTTAGTACAGTAGATAACAATATCTTTTAGTTTGCATATTTTTACCACTGTGCATACCCTTTAGTTATATAAAACCATGAGGCTTATACTTACAATCACTGCAAGTTGTGGGGAATTTATCGGTCAACTAGTGAATATCTTCGTTCAAACCTTAATTAGTTTAATATGATACTAGTATTTGGATTCGAACGCAACGTTTCATGCTAGACAAGAATCAGATTCACTGATGATCAGGACTACATCCAGAGGTTCTCATAAAGCTCCAAAAAGTAGGCTTTGAAAAATCTATTTAAAGGACTTTCCTTTGTAGTTTTTTTCACCAAGAAGCTACTTGGTTTTCTGTTTTTTGTGTACTGTTAGTAATATATGGCACGTCGGGCTGATCTTGATAAGATAGGGAAGGAAGGATTCGATATGATGGACGAGTACGCTAGAACTGGTAGGCCTCCTTATCGTCATCACGTTGACCGGAGGAGCCAAGTACCTAATAAGATAAAAGAAGAAGTAGTTCTCGATTGCAATGAGGCAGCTAAATTGTTTGGTGGGGTGGTGATTGGAGATGATCGTAAGAAAGCACCATTTAATAGGGGTCCCTAGGCTCTCTGCTGTACTTGAGAAACTCAGACATGGTCCTCTAGCAGTAAATGGATATTGCATGAAGCTATTAGTGATTAGTCCTTTACTACCATAGAAGAACAGGTTGTAAAATATAGCCCTAGTTTCTAGTAGTTACAGGCATGTATATCTTTCCTCTATCGTGTGGCTTGTAGTCTTGTGCGATATATGAAGTGAACCTCTAGTTATTTGCTCTACTTATATTGTCGTATTATTGGTATGGTTGTGTCTTTGATGCCCCCCCAAAAAAAAAAAATCTGTATGATAATTGGTTGTTTAATGGCTTGAAAGAACTAGATTACATACATATAAGGTTGGTCATTCCTCAAAAATGATCATAAACTGAGAGACAAAATAGGAAATACCCTTGCTGTTTTGTCAACTAATGGGACACCCTTCTCAAGCCACCACAATGTCCTCCTCCCAAAAAAAAAGAAGAAAGAAATGCGTGCAAAATAATATTAGTTTTGATATCCGGGTGCAATACCAATAGTGAATTTGGCCACAAAAAACTTAAAATAAAGAATAAGTAAAATTTCATGAAAAGAGAGCTCTTACCGGCGAATGGAGGTGGGGAAGGGGGTTATTAGGGAAGAAGAACAATAAATTTGGTATTGAACAAAAATATTGGCATGACATAACACAAGCACTTTTGAGATTGTCATGGTAGAGGTTTGGATGAAATGTTGTTCAATTTGGTTTAGTACAGTAGATAACAATCTCTCTTGGTTCGCTTATTTTTACCACTGATGACATTCAAATTATGGATCTCTAATCATGTGCGCATGCCCTTCAGTTATATAAAATCATGTGGCTTATACTTACAACCACTGCAAGTTGTGGGGAATTTATCAGTCAACAAGTGAATATCTTCTTTCAAACCTGAATTAGTTTAATTATGATAATAGTATTTGGATTTGAACGCAATGTTTCATGCTAAACAAGAATGAGATTCACTGATGATCAGGACTAATTCCACACTGCTCTCATATCTTTAGACCATTAGACTGCAAAGAAAAGAATCAGTCAAGATAATCAAATTCTTTAGTGTTTTTTCCTCTTACTTTCTCTTTTCTAACTGATCAAAGATGTTTTATAAGTGGGAGCTTTTAGACTTCATTGTACAACGTGTTTTAATGCTACACGGGCTTACTCCAAAACAGACAAATATTATACAAATCCCGCTGTGGCACTTTACACAGTATAAACCTCCCCGTGGGATTACAGTTTGCAACTACAGATTGATCTTGAAAAGAGTATCAAATGGAAGAAAACACATAGCATGTCGATTTTTAGATAAATTGCTGACTCAGATTCCTCTTTGGAGGACATCATCTGATGATATCACTTTGGTTACGTCAATCACAAACTAAAGATTTATTATTTTAACTGCAACTACTTAACTCCAGTGAAGTGTAAAAGGAATAATATACAAGCACAATATTCTGTTTACTTTCACAATCAACATGAGAAGATTGATTAGGGGTAAAGACGAAAATAGATATTCGTATTCATTTGCATGAGAATTATATAAGAAGAAAAAGAATCTTTGATTTCTTTTTGAACTAGGCTTCTTTGAATTAAGTAATAAAAGAATCGTAGTATTGAAAGGAAGAAGCATCTTTTACCGGTAACCACGAGTTTGAACCAATCCAGATGAACATGGGTGGAATATTAGTATATCTAACTCATAATTTAATTGTTATCCACTGCCACTGACCGTCAAGGACAATAAAAAGAACCCCAAATCACATATTATTCTATTTAAAGGTGGACTGTCAAAAATCTATTTAAAGGACTCCCATTTGTAGTTTTTTCTCACCAAGAAACACCAAAGAAGCTATTTGGTTTTCGGCTTCTTGTGTACTGTTAGTAATATATATGGCACGTCGGGCTGATATTGATACGATAGGGAAGGAAGCGTTCGATATGTTGGACGAGTATGATAGGAGAAATGGCAGGCCTCCTTATTTGCATCACGTTGATCGGAGGAGCCAAGTACCTCAGATGAAAGGAGTTGTAGTTCTTGATTGCTATGAGGCAGCCAAATTGTATGGTGGGGTGGTGGTTAGAGATGGTCGTAAGAAAGCACCATTTAAGTGGGCTTTTTAAGCTCTCTGCTGTACTTGAGAAACTCATGACATGGTCCTCTAGCAGTAAATGGAAGCAACATATGTTGCATGAAGCTATATTAGTGATAAGTCTTTTACTACCATCTAGTCCATAGAGGAAAAGGTTTGTAAAAAATAGCCCTAGTTTCTAGTAGTTACAAGTATATATATCTTTCCTCTATTGTGAAGCTTGTAGTCTTGTGTGGTCTATGACGTGAAGCTATAGTTATTTGCTCTACTTGTATTGTCCTATTGTTGGTATGCTTCTGCGCCTTTGTGCCCCCTCCCCCCTCCTCCTTAAAAATAAAAAAATAAAAAATAACCCACTCTCAAAAAGGTTTTAAAAAGATACCCACAAAAAACTGCATGATAATTGGTTGTTTAATGGCTTGAAAGAACCTAGATTACATACATATAAGGTTTGCCGTTCCTAAAAAAGTAAAAAATTATCATAAATTGAGCCTTGCTGTTTTGCCAACCCATTGGGAGACCATTCTCAAGCCACTACAATGTCCTCCTCCNCAGTTGTCTCCCGCTCCTCAGAGTATCGGGCACTGACACTTGACACGTGTGAGATTATTTAGTTATGATCGATTCTTGGCGAGTTAGAATTTTCAGTGACTTCTCCATCCACATTATATTGTGATAATCGATCTGCTATTCAGCTCGCTTCTGACTCTGTACTACACGAGAGGACGAAGCATATAGAGATCGATGTTCACTTTTTTCGAGGGAAGGTTAGCTGTGGTATTATCACTCCATTATTTGTAGGGACTAGTAATCAAGTTGCGGATGTTTTCACCAAACCTATCACGTTTTCATTCTTCAGGATTCGGTTGTCAAGCTTGGCTTAGTTGATATTTTTGCGCCTAGCTTGAGGGGGAGTGTTGGAGTTATAACCTAGATTATTAGGATTTTCCTTTCTACCTTTGTTTTACCTTTTTATCCTTATTGTATTTTTTTTGTTTGACTATATATACGGGACTCTACACTTAATTTGTATCTTTTTCACTCACATTTATCTCAAGCAGTAGGAATTCAATTTGTTTAGTACAGTAGATAACAATATCTTTTAGTTTGCATATTTTTACCACTGTGCATACCCTTTAGTTATATAAAACCATGAGGCTTATACTTACAATCACTGCAAGTTGTGGGGAATTTATCGGTCAACTAGTGAATATCTTCCTTCAAACCTTAATTAGTTTAATATGATACTAGTATTTGGATTCGAACGCAACGTTTCATGCTAGACAAGAATCAGATTCACTGATGATCAGGACTACATCCAGAGGTTCTCATAAAGCTCCAAAAAGTAGGCTTTGAAAAATCTATTTAAAGGACTTTCCTTTGTAGTTTTTTTCACCAAGAAGCTACTTGGTTTTCTGTTTTTTGTGTACTGTTAGTAATATATGGCACGTCGGGCTGATCTTGATAAGATAGGGAAGGAAGGATTCGATATGATGGACGAGTACGATAGAACTGGTAGGCCTCCTTATCGTCATCACGTTGACCGGAGGAGCCAAGTACCTAATAAGATAAAAGAAGAAGTAGTTCTCGATTGCAATGAGGCAGCTAAATTGTTTGGTGGGGTGGTGATTGGAGATGATCGTAAGAAAGCACCATTTAATAGGGGTCCCTAGGCTTTCTGCTGTACTTGAGAAACTCAGACATGGTCCTCTAGCAGTAAATGGATATTGCATGAAGCTATTAGTGATTAGTCCTTTACTACCATAGAAGAACAGGTTGTAAAATATAGCCCTAGTTTCTAGTAGTTACAGGCATGTATATCTTTCCTCTATCGTGTGGCTTGTAGTCTTGTGCGATATATGAAGTGAACCTCTAGTTATTTGCTCTACTTATATTGTCGTATTATTGGTATGGTTGTGTCTTTGATGCCCCCCAAAAAAAAAAAAATCTGTATGATAATTGGTTGTTTAATGGCTTGAAAGAACTAGATTACATACATATAAGGTTGGTCATTCCTCAAAAATGATCATAAACTGAGAGACAAAATAGGAAATACCCTTGCTGTTTTGTCAACTAATGGGACACCCTTCTCAAGCCACCACAATGTCCTCCTCCCAAAAAAAAAGAAGAAAGAAATGCGTGCAAAATAATATTAGTTTTGATATCCGGGTGCAATACCAATAGTGAATTTGGCCACAAAAAACTTAAAATAAAGAATAAGTAAAATTTCATGAAAAGAGAGCTCTTACCGGCGAATGGAGGTGGGGAAGGGGGTTATTAGGGAAGAAGAACAATAAATTTGGTATTGAACAAAAATATTGGCATGACATAACACAAGCACTTTTGAGATTGTCATGGTAGAGGTTTGGATGAAATGTTGTTCAATTTGGTTTAGTACAGTAGATAACAATCTCTCTTGGTTCGCTTATTTTTACCACTGAGGACATTCAAATTATGGATCTCTAATCATGTGCGCATGCCCTTCAGTTATATAAAATCATGTGGCTTATACTTACAACCACTGCAAGTTGTGGGGAATTTATCAGTCAACAAGTGAATATCTTCTTTCAAACCTGAATTAGTTTAATTATGATAATAGTATTTGGATTTGAACGCAATGTTTCATGCTAAACAAGAATGAGATTCACTGATGATCAGGACTAATTCCACACTGCTCTCATATCTTTAGACCATTAGACTGCAAAGAAAAGAATCAGTCAAGATAATCAAATTCTTTAGTGTTTTTTCCTCTTACTTTCTCTTTTCTAACTGATCAAAGATGTTTTATAAGTGGGAGCTTTTAGACTTCATTGTACAACGTGTTTTAATGCTACACGGGCTTACTCCAAAACAGACAAATATTATACAAATCCCGCTGTGGCACTTTACACAGTATAAACCTCCCCGTGGGATTACAGTTTGCAACTACAGATTGATCTTGAAAAGAGTATCAAATGGAAGAAAACACATAGCATGTCGATTTTTAGATAAATTGCTGACTCAGATTCCTCTTTGGAGGACATCATCTGATGATATCACTTTGGTTACGTCAATCACAAACTAAAGATTTATTATTTTAACTGCAACTACTTAACTCCAGTGAAGTGTAAAAGGATTAATATACAAGCACAATATTCTGTTTACTTTCACAATCAACATGAGAAGATTGATTAGGGGTAAAGACGAAAATAGATATTCGTATTCATTTGCATGAGAATTATATAAGAAGAAAAAGAATCTTTGATTTCTTTTTGAACTAGGCTTCTTTGAATTAAGTAATAAAAGAATCGTAGTATTGAAAGGAAGAAGCATCTTTTACCGGTAACCACGAGTTTGAACCAATCCAGATGAACATGGGTGGAATATTAGTATATCTAACTCATAATTTAATTGTTATCCACTGCCACTGACCGTCAAGGACAATAAAAAGAACCCCAAATCACATATTATTCTATTTAAAGGTGGACTGTCAAAAATCTATTTAAAGGACTCCCATTTGTAGTTTTTTCTCACCAAGAAACACCAAAGAAGCTATTTGGTTTTCGGCTTCTTGTGTACTGTTAGTAATATATATGGCACGTCGGGCTGATATTGATACGATAGGGAAGGAAGCGTTCGATATGTTGGACGAGTATGATAGGAGAAATGGCAGGCCTCCTTATTTGCATCACGTTGATCGGAGGAGCCAAGTACCTCAGATGAAAGGAGTTGTAGTTCTTGATTGCTATGAGGCAGCCAAATTGTATGGTGGGGTGGTGGTTAGAGATGGTCGTAAGAAAGCACCATTTAAGTGGGCTTTTTAAGCTCTCTGCTGTACTTGAGAAACTCATGACATGGTCCTCTAGCAGTAAATGGAAGCAACATATGTTGCATGAAGCTATATTAGTGATAAGTCTTTTACTACCATCTAGTCCATAGAGGAAAAGGTTTGTAAAAAATAGCCCTAGTTTCTAGTAGTTACAAGTATATATATCTTTCCTCTATTGTGAAGCTTGTAGTCTTGTGTGGTCTATGACGTGAAGCTATAGTTATTTGCTCTACTTGTATTGTCCTATTGTTGGTATGCTTCTGCGCCTTTGTGCCCCCTCCCCCCTCCTCCTTAAAAATAAAAAAATAAAAAATAACCCACTCTCAAAAAGGTTTTAAAAAGATACCCACAAAAAACTGCATGATAATTGGTTGTTTAATGGCTTGAAAGAACCTAGATTACATACATATAAGGTTTGCCGTTCCTAAAAAAGTAAAAAATTATCATAAATTGAGCCTTGCTGTTTTGCCAACCCATTGGGAGACCATTCTCAAGCCACTACAATGTCCTCCTCCAAAAAAAAAAAAAGGGAATGCGTGCAAAATAATGTTAGTTTTGATATCCGGGTGCAAACNCTCCAAAAAAAAAAGGGAATGCGTGCAAAATAATGTTAGTTTTGATATCCGGGTGCAAACAATAGTGAATTTGGCCATAAAATGAGAGGACTTTGAAGTTTGAAGTGCATCCCATTTGAGAGTGTTTGGGAGCATTGGTTATGTGCATGTACCCGATCAAGAAAGGTCGAAGTTTGAAGACAAAAGTAAGAAGCACATCTTTATTGGGTATGATCAATGTTCCAAAGGCTATAAATTCTACAATCCAAGTATTGACAAGGTAATTATCAGTAGAGATGTGGAATTCGATGAAAAAGATGCATGGGATTGGAGTATTGAAGATAAAGAAAAGTATGATTTTTTTTCATTTCTTGATGAGGAAGAGCAAAGAGAAGAAGCTCATCAAGAGCCCACAACACCTCCTCGATCACCTACAAATTCAAATACACCTTCTACATCTTCTTCAAGTGCAAGTAAAAGCTCAAGTGAAAGACAACCACGAAAGAGAAGTCTCCAAGAATTTTACGAAGAAACGAAAAATTTAAGTAATGATCTAACTCTTTATTGTCATCTTGTAAATTGTGAACCTATAGTGTTTGAAGAAGCCCACAAAAGGCAATAATTGATAAAGGAAAGATGGCAGAAGGAAACTCTAACAAATCATTATAGAAAGATACGGTGGAAATTATAGGAAATGTTTCAAACTCAATCCCAATAATTTTTAAAGCAGACAATCAGTCGGGCAAAGATATGGAAACTTCCAAATTACAGGATCCTCAAATTAACGACTTCCCCCAAGTCAAGGACTTTCCAAATGTAGATAGGCCAGTAGCAAATAATGGGGTAATTATCATTGACAATCCCATGAACCCCCCGAATCAACTAGCTCTAGAAGTCGAACGTCCTATGGAGGGCTCCTGTAGACTACATGAGCAATGTTTATCATCCACTTTCATGTGGACCATCATTATACTTGCAGAGAAGGCGCTAAGGTCTCTTTGGATGATGAGATGGGTTTAGCATGCAGAAAGGAGCCTCCGGACAAAGGCTTTTATTCGAACAATGATATTACTTTGTATGTTGATCTGGGTTCACAAGACCCTGATCATCGAAGCACAGAAGAGCATCAGGATGCAATTAGTATCCCCTCTCAGTCAGATTCTCAACATTCGAATTTTGATTTAAGGGGAAATGAGCAGCATGAAGAAACCCAAAGTATTCCCCATATGGGTATGACTACTAGATCCAGGTCTAGCAAACTTTCTCAATCCGCACCTTTAAATGATTAATATTATATCATGGAATGTGAGAGGAGCAAATAAGAAATCCTCAAGATTAAGGTTGCAAACATTAGTTCGATCAAACAATGTTGGTTTAGTTTCTGTTTTGGAGCCTAAATTGTTTTTAGACAAGTTAAGAAGTCTGTGTCTTAGTCTGGGGTTCTCTTCATCATTAGCTAATCTTGTAGCAGAGAAATATATCTGGGTTCTTTGGGATCATAGGATGCAAGTGGAGATTTTTTCATTTCATGGGCAAGCTTTTACAGTTAAAGTATCTTACATGGGTTCCTTGGCTTTTTTGGTTTCATTCGTCTATGCCAAGTGTGATCATATTCTTCGCAGGTCCTTATGGGCCCATCTTTCCGCATTGACAATTTCTAATATGCCTTGGATGGTGGTAGGGGACTTCAACGTTATTGTGTCATCAACATAAAGGAAAGGAGGTTCGCCTACTAGTTTATCCACTATGCATGAGTTCATCTCTTTCATTAATGCAACGGGCTTACAAGATTGTGGCTACACTGGAACAAATTTTACATGGTGTAACAATCGAGAAGGTATGGCTAGAATGTGGCAGCATATTGATAGGGCACTAATGAATGTTGAGTGGGCTGAAAGAGTTAGAGTGTAGTGGTGGAGCATGCGGCTAAAGGCTCCTCTGACCATTGTCCTCTAATTATCAAGAACTCTGAAGATGTTGCTCCCAGAAGGATATCCTATTTTAAATTCATGGACATGTGGGTAGAACACTCAGGCTTCTTGTCGGTGGTACAAGCTGCTTGGGTGGGTTCTTACTCTACAAATCCCATACATAATTTTTTTCTCAGGCTTAAGTGTCTCAAAGCCCATTTAAAAACTTGGAACAAGGAAACATTTGGAAATGTGTTTGATAATATCAAGCGGCAGGAATAGCTTTTGTTGCAAGTAGAGATTGATATGGAAATGCAAGATTCTGTGGCAAATATCTCATTAGTGGAAAGGGCAAGAAGGGAGCTGGATCATGCATAAGAATAGAGGAGATATTTTGGAGACAAAAAGCCAATGTGCAGTGGACTATAGGGGGGGAAAGAAACACAAGACTATACCATGCCATAGCAAAAGGCAAGTCATCTAGAAGCAGAATTCAAAGGATCAAGAATGTGGAGGATACTTGGGTGGAGGAAGAAGCTCTAATTGCAGGTTGTGCAGTGAACTATTTTCCTGGCCTTTACACTTCAGAACCCCATTACATAGAGAAGGAACTATTTTCCTTTATCCCCAAATTGGTTACAGAGGAGGAAAATCTCATGTTATTGGCCCCTGTTTCTTTGCAAGAACTAAAGGAAGTCGTCTTTGATATGTCGGTGCATAGTGCCCCAGGTCCAGATGGTTTCTCAGGTAAGTTTTTTCAAACAACCTGGGATATAATTAAGGATGATCTGTTGGAGGCTGTTAATTTTTTCATGCAAGGTGGAGTGATTACTAGATCGGTTAATGCTATATTGATGTCTCTTATTCCTAAGATTGAAAAACCTTCCTCATTTTCAGAATTTAGGCCAATTAGTTTATGTAATTTTCTTTACAAAATCTTCACAAAGATACTGGCAGCTAGATTAAGTAATCTACTTCCTAAGATAATTTCAAAGGAGCAACAAGGATTTGTCAAGGGGAGAAATGTTGCAGACAGTATTTCTCTTGCTTAATTGATGGCTAATGAATTGGACAGGAAAGTGGAAAGAGGTAATGCTATTATTAAACTTGATATGATGAAAGCATTTGATCGTTTAGAATGGGATTTTTTAGAGCAAACTTTGGCGAGTTTTGGCTTTTCAAAAGAGTTTGTTCTAGTCATCTCTAATTGCCTTAATAATCAGAATATCTCTCTAGTAATTAATGGCGTTAGACATGGATTTTTCCCCAGCTCTAGGGAGTTGAGGCAAGGGGATCCTCTATCTCCCAATTTATTTATTCTAGCAATGGAAGCGTTGAGCAGAGGTTTAAAGCATCATTCTAAGCAAGGACTGACAAAGATTTTTCACACAAGTAGAGGTGCCATTTTGCTATCACACATGTCATTTGCAGATGATACTTTAATCTTTCTAAAGGGCACAAAAAAATCTATGGTTAATATGTTGAAGTTTGTAGGGAGATATGAAGCATCTTCAGGGCAAAAAGTAAATTTGCAAAAGAGTTCACTATATTGCACCTCAAGAATCCCATTATCAAGAAGAAATAGACTATCACAGGTGTCTGACATTCTTATTAAATCTTGTCCGCTTACCTATTTGGGTTGTCCTATCATTAATGGGAGAGTTAAACTGCGATACTATGAAGATCAGTTGAAAAAGTTTCAAGCTATGTTGGAGGGCTGGTACACTAAACTGTTCTCAAACATGGGCAGAATCACACTTATCAAGTCAGTCTTACAATCTTTACCAGTCCATCTCATGTCTTCTCTAAGCCTACCCAAGGGAATCATAGCTAAGATAAACTCTATGATGGCTTCTTTCCTTTGGTCCAGCAGACCAGACATTTGGAAGCGACATTGGTGTTCTTGGAAGTCCATTACATTGCCTAAAGAAGAAGGTGGATGGGTATCAGACAGTTTGAAGAGGTGCAACAATCATTTAGAATGAAGTAAGTTTGGCATTTAATGAAAGGAGCCTCCCTATGGTCATCCATCTTCACCACTAAGTTTCTTAATAATCGGCATCTGCTTAGAAATCTGAGACAAGGGCACTTGAGATGTTTTAACATGTTGCAGTCTTACTTTGAGTTGGTAATGAGTAACTCCAAGCAACTGGTGGGCACAAGTGTTTCAATAGATTTCTGGCGTGATAATTGGACAGGTTTTGGTCCACTTATATTGAGAAATTCTGTTATGCCTACATATTTTCCAAAGCGGTCACAGGTCTTCAACAATGGACATTGGGATTTAAATATGATTCAGCAAGATATAGATAACCATCTTCTACAAGAATCATATCAGCAGACATTTGCTTATCTGCTGGTCCAGATAGACTCGTTTGGAAACACAACTCCTTGGAAAATTTCTCTGTTAAGTCTGTCTGGGAACTACTTAGAGACAGGAGGGATGTCCNTGGTAATTAATGGTGTTAGACATGGATTTTTCCCCAGCTCTAGGGGGTTGAGGCAAGGGGATCCTCTATCTCCCAATTTATTTATTCTAGCAATGGAAGTGTTGAGCAGAGGTTTAAAGCATCATTCTAAGCAAGGACTGACAAAGATTTTTCACACAAGTAGAGGTGCCATTTTGCTATCACACATGTCATTTGCAGATGATACTTTAATCTTTCTAAAGGGCACAAAAAAATCTATGGTTAATATGTTGAAGTTTGTAGGGAGATATGAAGCATCTTCAGGGCAAAAAGTAAATTTGCAAAAGAGTTCACTATATTGCACCTCAAGAATCCCATTATCAAGAAGAAATAGACTATCACAGGTGTCTGACATTCCTATTAAATCTTGTCCGCTTACCTATTTGGGTTGTCCTATCATTAATGGGAGAGTTAAACTGCGATACTATGAAGATCAGTTGAAAAAGTTTCAAGCTATGTTGGAGGGCTGGTACACTAAACTGTTCTCAAACATGGGCAGAATCACACTTATCAAGTCAGTCTTACAATCTTTACCAGTCCATCTCATGTCTTCTCTAAGCCTACCCAAGGGAATCATAGCTAAGATAAACTCTATGATGGCTTCTTTCCTTTGGTCCAGCAGACCAGACATTTGGAAGCGACATTGGTGTTCTTGGAAGTCCATTACATTGCCTAAAGAAGAAGGTGGATGGGTATCAGACAGTTTGAAGAGGTGCAACAATCATTTAGAATGAAGTAATTTTGGCATTTAATGAAAGGAGCCTCCCTATGGTCATCCATCTTCACCACTAAGTTTCTTAATAATCGGCATCTGCTTAGAAATCTGAGACAAGGGCACTTGAGATGTTTTAACATGTTGCAGTCTTACTTTGAGTTGGTAATGAGTAACTCCAAGCAACTGGTGGGCACAAGTGTTTCAATAGATTTCTGGCGTGATAATTGGACAGGTTTTGGTCCACTTATATTGAGAAATTCTGTTATGCCTACATATTTTCCAAAGCGGTCACAGGTCTTCAACAATGGACATTGGGATTTAAATATGATTCAGCAAGATATAGATAACCATCTTCTACAAGAATCATATCAGCAGACATTTGCTTATCTGCTGGTCCAGATAGACTCGTTTGGAAACACAACTCCTTGGAAAATTTCTCTGTTAAGTCTGTCTGGGAACTACTTAGAGACAGGAGGGATGTCCAAGTACAAGCATCAACAGTTTGGAAGCAAATGGCTCCCCCTAGTGCTCAGTTGTTGGGGTGGAAAATTTTGAAGAAGGCATTACCCATGGATTCTACATTTCAAACAATAGGAGTTAATTTAGCAAGTAGATGTGTATTATGTTGCTCGGAAGTTGATGTAGAGGATCATATTTTTATCTCTTGCAAATTCGCTGCATATATTTGGGAGAAGTTTTTGGCTATTTTCGGATTCCAGCTTATAGCNGCAGACCAGACATTTGGAAGCGACATTGGTGTTCTTGGAAGTCCATTACATTGCCTAAAGAAGAAGGTGGATGGGTATCAGACAGTTTGAAGAGGTGCAACAATCATTTAGAATGAAGTAATTTTGGCATTTAATGAAAGGAGCCTCCCTATGGTCATCCATCTTCACCACTAAGTTTCTTAATAATCGGCATCTGCTTAGAAATCTGAGACAAGGGCACTTGAGATGTTTTAACATGTTGCAGTCTTACTTTGAGTTGGTAATGAGTAACTCCAAGCAACTGGTGGGCACAAGTGTTTCAATAGATTTCTGACGTGATAATTGGACAGGTTTTGGTCCACTTATATTGAGAAATTCTGTTATGCCTACATATTTTCCAAAGCGGTCACAGGTCTTCAACAATGGACATTGGGATTTAAATATGATTCAGCAAGATATAGATAACCATCTTCTACAAGAATCATATCA